TTTAGCTATTAATTATTTTTTATATAAAATAAATCTTGCGAAGAATTATTTTTCATAGATAAAATAAATCAATCTTGTGAACAATTTTGATTATCCAATAATATTTTTCCCATGTGATGAGATGATCTACAAAAATCAGCTAATTACAATGAAAGCCCACTATGCTCATGTGGTTAATATTTTAGTATCATAGGCGCATTTTATAATATATATATAGTATACATATTTATATATTGAATTATATGCTATTATAGTACAGTAAAATACAAGTTAATAAATCATTAGCATTGGAGTTAAAGTCTTCGTTATATTGAGAGTCATTATAATGAGTTTGAACTATATTAAATTTATTATTAGCTTAGCTTATTAGAGCTCTAAATTAACTATATGTATATATACGTATATATTATAATAAATTGTCATTTTCTTAAGTGCGTATGTAAAATATATTGTTAAACAAACAGCATAATCTTATTTTTTTTCATCTTATAAAAACTAGGGTTATTATCGGATCATTCTTTTATTTGATATATCTAATATAGTTAAAAAATGAAATTTAGAGTATATTCTAATACATATCTTTTTTTACCAATCAGAATTAATTTTAATAAAAATATTTTTTTAATAAAAGCAGTTTTAATTTTTATCAATTGTAAAAGTGTTTTTAAAGATTATTTTAAATATATTATAAAATTAAATTTATTAAAATAGGTAAAACCTATTTAAATTTGTAAATTAAAATAAAAAAAAACTATATAAAATTATATATGAATTTATATAGTAAAAAGTTAAGTATATATAGATTTTAAACCAGATTTGTAATATAGAATTTATTATTAACAAAATTTTAAAAATTTATTAATAAAGCTTATAATAAAATTAGATTTTAGAAAATAACTAGAAATCACTGCAGGCGATTATCATCTGTGATTTACAATGCATAAAAAATAATAATTTCTATCAAACCAAAAAAATCAAACCTCTTTAAAATTAGAGTAAGGGTAAAGATTAGAGGTTAGAGATTAGGGTAGAGCATTTTATATAGTAAAATTTAGCAAGAAATTTTTTTTGTTAGAGCTTAAAAGGTAGTTTCATAGACAAAATTTTGAGATATGAGTGTTTTTTAAAAAAATTCTTTGTTTTTGTTACACAAAATTAATTTACACATTACACCTAATCCTGAATTTTAATTGGCAAATTAACTACAGGTGATGATCACCTGAGGTGTAAATTAGTAAATAAATATGATTTCTGATATTAATTATAAACATATTAAATTTAAAATTTTATTTAAAAATCAATTAATTCAATACTGTGTTACACTATTCTTGAATAATTGAATTTTTAAATTCAATACTACAATGTTCAAAAGCTGTTAATCCATCCTCATCTTTAAGCAAAATGTTGGCGCCATTTTTATACAAGTAACTTGCACAATCAAAATGCTCAGAAATACATGCTATATATAAAGAATTGTAAATAATTACAAAGAAATATTGTACCAATAAATAAATCATTTAAAATTATATTGGTTATAAATTACCATAATGTAAGGGAGTCTCATTTCCATCAGACTAAAAAAAATATAAGTGTAATCGAAATAGAAATTTGGTATTAAATAACTAAATAAATGAATTAATACACAGATAATAGTTTTATAAATCATTACCAAAATGTTTATGTCAGCACCTTTTTCAATCAATAATTTGACGACATCCAAATGTCCTCGATCACAAGCCCAATGTAAGAGTGACAATCCCTTCAGTTTATATAATTTTTTAAATCATTTAATTGTACACGATGAAAAAAAAAAATAAAAAATCGCAACAAAACATCATGAATACTACCTGGTTGTCCTTAGCATTTACGTTAGCTTCTCCTGATTCTAATATTCCACTTATTTCAGAAGACTTACCTTGCTTGACGTATGAAAACATATCATCACTATTTAAGGGAATGAAGAAAAAAGGAGCAATTGTGTTAATCATAGTGCCTTAAACAATTTGCTTTGGCTCGTGTTAGAGGTCGACCCAAAAACCAACATCGATTTGGTACAGAGTTTGTACTCGAATCAGAACAGAAATTTTTATTTTAATTGACTAATCACTAAATGCCATGAATGTCACTACTCGCAAACTTAGTAAGTCGACATTTCCATACATATTTTGAATTCTTGCAATAGTTTGTGCATAAGTTTTAAATATTCCATTCAAAACCCTATTTCTTTTTGCGGATCTTCTTTAGTATAGGTGGCCAATATAGAAATATTATAAGATTATAATATAAAAAAACTCTAACCCTAACCCTAGAGCTAACTATAAACTTTACTATAACCCTTAACTAACCCTAACTAATCTCAAATTTGCTTAAATTAGTTCAAATACCTATGTTTATATATTATAATCTTATAATATTTCTATAGTGGCCACCTCTACTAAAGATCAACCCTTTTTGCCTCAAACCCTGATATAGCAAGAATTTCGGAGTATATATGAGTCGACAAAGCAACTTTAATAACCATAAAGCTACTTAATAAGGCCTTACTAATAATAATGTTTAAGTATTGCTCGGATAATTTCCGATTGCAATATATAGTACTAACTTTGTCTCTTCTTCTTCTTCTTCTTCTTCTCCGTATGACAAAGTGGAAACATATGTCCATCTATCTCGTGGAGTATCCATCGTTTCCTACTTGGTAAGAACAGCTATTATTTTAAAAATCTAACAAATTAAAAAAAAAAAAACACTACATTGTCTATTTTATCACTGTCATCAGCATCCGACGAATTTTCATCATTGTCCACATGATCTCTACTCCATCCAACATTTGCTTGTTCTAAAATATCAGTATAACGTTGCTTTGCCTCCTCTTTTGAAATGTCACCTAGTTCGTTCCAAGAATCCCATTTGGCTCTACCTCTAAAATCTAGTAAGGAGGGTTTTGGCGTGTTGCAATTGCCAATTGTTGCAGCTTTATAAGTGCCATAAAGCTTTTTTGAGAATAACGAAAGTTGAAAGCAATTTAATTAAATTTACATAAAAAAAAAGAAAAATAGGGATGTTATTACCTTTAATTTTATCTCATCAGATAACTTAATATTTGAATGTTTATTAAGATATGTATAAGCAGAGATAAATTGCGCAGTTAATATATCAGTTTCACTCATTTATAAACTTTCACGCCTTGTAAAACTTGGATTTGAGCTCGTTCTAAAATTATGGTTTTAATAATTGCAAGTTGTTGATCTGATCAATAGGATCAGTAGTGATTCGCAAATACCAAAATAGGGGTTCGATCGGATAGTCTTCAAGCTTTATCTAATTTAAAGACTACTTATTAATTTTGTGATCTTTATAATTATTACTATGGTCCCAAGAACACTGCAGACAGAGCAATAGTACACTTGATGTCTTTGTTAACAAATCCTGAATTTTGATTGGCTGTTTATAATGCTGACCTTTTTTTTGGTTGATCACATTTCTCCAGCGTCGTCATCAAATTTCATGTTTACATAATAGTGTTTGTATGTCTTTTTTTACTTAGGTTTGGGTTAGTGCATAAAAGATAGTTATGCAAATCTTTTTAATCATTAATAAATATTGCATAAAAAAAATGATATTTTAATTAACAAATATTGCTATACTATATACAGTATGTAAAACAACTTTTATTAAATTAAATATTTATGCACTAAAATAAAGTAACATTTTTACGTATACAATTTAGATAAGCTTTTTGCATTATGTAAAAATATATATAAATGCAAAAAAATCAATAAAATTTTATCTAATACGTACAGTACGTAGTGTGTAAAGTTTGCCTTTTATACGTATTAGATATCAATACGTATAAAGTTATTTTTTATGTTTCCAAATACAAATAAATGGTCGATTTAATAATAAGTTTTTTCTAATAGGCAAATGCTGGGGGCATAAGCAGTGTTTAAAATTCAATTTTGTTTCAATATGCGGAAAAGCTTGATAAAATAACCGGTGGTGATCATCACCGCATCTTATTTTTAGGGTTAGGATGCATGGGAGGGTTCTATATAATAGTAAATTTTAGTTAGGTTTTTGGAGGTTATGAACATTTTTGATTAGTATCCCTGACATGAGATATAGCACCCCTGGTGATAATCATCACCGGTTATAGTTAGTAGTATTCATAATAATAATAATAAAATTTCAAAAAAAAAGGCGTAACACATAATAAAAATTCGCAGATTCCCAAGAAAATTTTGCTTGCGGAATGAATTTTCAATCTGTGCACCGCAGGATTCCGCATACAGTATAGATTTTAAACACTGGGTATAACGCGCGAAATATAAAATACCCGGGTACGGCATTTTATAATTTTGATTGACTTTAAAGGTATATATATTAGATTATCAATTAACTAAATTAAATAATCTTAAGTCATTTAGACTGTGAAATGACCCAACGTGAAAATGACCAATAACTGGTCATTTTACAGAGGCACGAGTAAACGTGTGTTAATCGAATTTACATGTTTTTCCTTTCCCTCACCCATGCATTTACTCATAATATTTCCGGGGCACCATCCGTCGAATCCTATGCTAAATTAAAATTGCTAGTGCAATTTGGCTGTGATGTCACGATAAAGAATTAATTTTATGTAACGAATGAATATTATCATGTGTTGTCATATTAACGAAATACGTAAATGGATAATATAGACGGAATTATTTTATTTTTATTTATATAATTTATATTTATCAATAGACTGAATGAATAAGTGGCTTGCTTGAACGTGTATCCAATCGGGATCCGGAAACTTTCATCAAATTGTTTTTTTTTTTTTTATAAACATTTGCAGTTGTGAAATGTAATTTCGATTTTTCTTTAGAATTTAGATATTGTTTCGTATATATGCTCATAAAGTGTACATATCTTCTATTCATACAACATAGGTAGACATAGAATATAAACATACATTAGACAAGGCAGAATGGTAATATTGACAGAAGATCTTATTCTGTCAAAGTCAAGTGCCAAATCAATCTCCGACGTTCGCAACTTAAATCTTTGGGTACCGATAAGTTAAAAAGCAAGGATCTAAATTTAAATTACCTTAATACGTAATTAATACTCCTTATTATTAGGGCTGTGAACTAGAAAACGTCAGCGCTCTTAAAAAATGTACTAGCTTAGAAGTTTTAAGTTTGAGGTAATTAAAAGGTAAACAATCTTTTATTTGTATATTTTTCAATATTTTTACTTTTTTTTTTTTGCTTTTTAATGAATGTAGTGTTAATAATCTCGCTACCCTGGATCAACTTGCGGAATGTGAGTCAGCTTTTCAGTTTTATGGTGTTATACAGACTTTATACAACGCGTATCAACTTTGGCCTCACGTAAATTTCGTCGCGAATTTTGTTTAAAATAATTGATCTTTACTAGGTAAAAATTTAAAAGGTTTGTAATATATTCGATTATGTTTTATAATTTTGATTGTATGTAATTCATTATTCACAATTTTCTACTTCCTATTAATTATAGAACTTTATTTACGAAAGAATTATATTAACGATGCAGAAGAAGTAAAACATTTGACGACGTTAAGAAATTTAGAAGTACTTTGGTTATGTGACAACCCTTGTGCAGATGATGAAAGGAAATATCGGTACACAATTCTTAGGTACCTGCCTTGGTTGAAAAAATTGGATCATCATGGTAAGCACAAAAGAATATAAGAAATATTTAACTAGTTATATATAAAATTACTAATAGTAACTATTCGAATAAGACGTTACTGATGATGAGGTCCTTGCTTCCATGAACAGCGTAAGTTACAAGTTGGATCAAGTTTGACCTATATCCATTTCAATTCATTCATTCATTCATTCATTAAATTATTTAAATTTATTTAAATTTATAGTCACCCGCTGCTATGCCTCTTAAAATTCGTAAACGGTTTACTCTTTCTGCAAGGTCACCGATTGATAGATCTTCTTCTTCTTCCTCACTTGACAAAGCTGATGAGAAATCATCTAGTGTATTAAATGTGAATGGTCATTTTAAAGCAAATGTTAATGGTGGAAATACTTTATTTTATGGAAATGGGACTTTTTCTTCATCTCCAATGTCTTTGGGAAGAGGTTTAAGTTGGTCTCAACCTCGAACACCAAGATCGAATTATGACTCAGAAGATCAATCTTCTGTAGTTCATAACGAAATACAGCAAATTAAAGACAATGCTGATAGTTCTTTGACTGTACATGAGAATAATCAGAATGGAATATCAAATGGTATTATTGGTATAGGCGTGCGATCCTTAATTAAGCCATCTGGATCTTTAAGTCGATCACCATCGTTGACACCACCCCTATCATCAAGTTCCAATACTGAAAAGCTTAATACAGTAGCAAGAAATGGATCAAAGATAGCTAGACATAAATCAAACAGCAGTTTAGGAACTAGTACAGATGGAAATTCGAAAACTAATGTAATTAAACAAGCAAGGCCACAAGTAAAACCAACCACTCCTTCTCTTATTAGAACACCGTCTCGGACGTCACCCTCAAAATCAAATGATAATTTAGACGATACTGAGCTAGATAACAAGAATGAACCTCGACAGGTTTGTATTCAAATTTTAAATGTGTCTTTTAATTTTATTATTAGATTCTTTATTTATGTATTATATACATTATTATATATTTAATAGATATTTCACGGGCTGTTGTGAATATGATGGATTAGCACGGCAGAGCCGTGAGAATACATTGTGTTTATGACACACTGTGAAATATCTTTTATATCACACGGTTCCTATGCCCGTAATATTTCTGACTAAAATTTTTACCGATTACGTCATGGCCGTGGAAAAAATTTCACGACATTACGTAATCATAAAAATATCATCAGGAATGTTCACGGGAGAACATTTGTATTATATATGTGATTATGTTTATTTATGTATATACTTAATTTCTAATATTATAGTCCAATGTACTTACGGCTGTACTTGCTTTAATCGATGAACTCGGTGAAAAGGACCTACAAATTGTTCAACGCAAAATACGACTTTTGGTGCTTAATCGACAGGGTCAACCAAGCAATAAATAATTAATTAGTGGAATAGACAGATTTAGACTACTCATTATAAACATAGATGCTTCATAATAACTTAAATACTTTTTTTTTTTGAATTAGATAGGGACTCATCGTTACAATATATTATAATATATTATGTAATTATTACGTAGTTTTAATGCTACATAGATTGTAGATAATAATTTGATCTATATTTTGAACTTCGCATAACATTCTCCTATAATATCATACACTTTTAGATACAAATTACATTATAATAATGATTGCATTTTCATTTTCAATTTTTTTTTCTAATATCAATAATTTTTTTTATACTTTGCATTAGTCTTCTGTTGTGTTTCATGAAAAGTTAAAAATCTGCCACCTTTTTGATTTTAATTCCATTGCTAAAATTTGATTTCTTAACTCTTCATTATCTTCTTGTAATTTTTTCATTTGCATTTTCATTTTATTTTCAAAAACTTTATTGGTTTCTTTCATTTCGGAAGTTTCATTTCTCAGTTTTTCTATTAAATTATTTAAACCATTTTGCCAATTCTTATGATTCCTACGTGACCTAAATCATATTATGAATAATAATTTATATAACAAAATATTCAAATACATATATATGTACCTGGTTTGATCCAAAACTATAATTACAATTATAACGTATAAGTTAATTTTAAAATTTATTTAATGAAAAAAAATTTTCAATTGAAAAAACAAGGATTAAATTTACCTATAATGGATGTAGCAACACCGAACAATATAACCTCACCAAGAAAATTAGCTCCTAAATGAATGAAAAATGATCACCTAAAAACATATACTTAATTATTGGAAACTATCAAGCCAAATAAAATACCCGTTGTAACGGCCCTTGGTTAATAAAACATCCAAATAAATAACAATAAAATTTGATGAATGTATATAAAAAATGTAATGCAAATACAATTTTTACTTTGTATCGTCTAAAGTCAGACTTTTTTGACCCGAAAGATACATTTCAAATCGATGAGTTGCCTTGAATTTATCCAAATTTGATTAATAATAATTTAATAGTCTTTATCTTTATAAAGTGTTACACTTTTTTTTTTACCTGAGCAAC